TTAGCCAACTACCATGTTAAATCTTTAATCTAAGGTATGGGGCTACTTGCCCCAGGCCGTGGGGCGTTTTGCCCTGGGGTTGGGGCAAAATGCCCCATTTGCAGTTGCTTCACAAATCACTTCCTAGCTTGGAGTCCGATCATAAGTGAATCAATTTGAGGGGTGCAATTTAAAGTAAAATGTCCAAAGAACGCATTGAGCACAAATTTGGCCTTTCAGGTGATGTGGGACAAAATTTATGTGGCAAAATAAATTATCTGGGGCGTCTTGCCCCAGGCTACCCTACCTTCCTGGAAAAATGACGCCCAGGGAGATGACTGTCCAACTTATTGGAACACTACCATGATTGCTTGTCAAAATGTGTGTCATCATGCTCTTGTTTTGTTTGACAAGTGATGTATAATAAATGTGATATTCAATAATTATCTCCTGACTGTTGACTGTTGAGTGATCAAAATATTCAAATAATCAGGGTACAATGCTGTGCATAGTGCACACTAATCATGTTGTTTTTGTGTAGGCCCTCTCCACATTGTTGTGTGCACTGCTATGTGCACCTTAAGTAAAAAGTGACTGGTGGTACATGACAAAAGGAATTGAGCAACTGTGAAGTTCATGCCCTTGGTCTTGCTGGTGCCAAATGCCTATAGCTATAGCAGGATCAGTGAGGGTTGTAGACATGCTACATACATTGTGCATTGAAGATATTGGCACAAAGTTCATCCGTAATTACTATGCTCAACACCATAATGTAAGAAGCGACATGAATGCCTAGATGATAAAGCTCTCTGGTCAACATCACACAAATTTATTGACATACTTTGCAGGTAGGGTAGACCGGGGCAAGTCGCCCCGCCGAGGTAAAACGCCTCACCGATGTTTCTCGGAACTGGCAAGGATCTGGGGAAATATTCTCTCTTCTATAAAACGTGCACTATATGATCATTATATGACCAGACTGGAAAGAAATTGTGATGACTCCTTAGGGAGATATAGCCAAAAATGTGTTTTTGGAGTGATTTTTATGTTTTGTTGTCAGGTTATGCATCATGGCGTTCTTTTATGGTCCACCTCAGGTTAACGACTTTTATGTATTTTGAACAACTATTATCTAACGCTTATAATGCCGGGTTGGTTCGTGTTAAATTATGTCTTGCTGGAGTGCAAGGCGTTGTTTTCTGACCGAACTACGTGATGGGGTAAAACGCCCCAGTAGGTCGCGGGGCAAAAAGCCCCATGGGGCGTTTTGCCTCATGTGTTGTTCGTACTACCCACTTCCTAATGTTCGGTAGCTGGCAAACAGTAAGTTTCTATGCATTTATGTGTAGTTTTCTCAGCAACCGGATGGCAAAGGAAGTATTTGGTGGACAGTTGCATGACAATAATTAATTATTTGGCCTTATGAGGCAGGTGAAAAACCTGCTCATACAATAGTGTCATAGCTGAACACCTGATAGGATGGAAGGTGCTAACTTCAGTGCCGTGCCTCCCAAGGTCTAACGGACCTCTCATATAAGATTTGGTCAACTAGCATGTTTAATCTGTAATCTAGAGTATGGGGCTTCTTGCCCCGGGCCGTGGGGCGTTTTGCCCTGGGGTTGGGGCAAAATGCCCCATTTGCAGTTGCTTCACAAATCACTTCATAGCTGGGAGTCCGATCATAAGTGAATGAATTTGAGGGGTGGAATTTAAAGTAAAATGTCCAAAGAACGCATTGAGCACAAATTTGGCCTTCCAGGTGATTTAGGACAAAAGTTATGTAGCAAAATAAATTATCTGGGGCGTCTTGCCCCAGGCTACCCTACATATTTACATTCATGGCAAATACTTTCAATTTGATTCAGATACTAGTTGGCAGTTGCTAATAAGCTTGCATTTTTGTAGGTACGTACAACAACGACCATATATTAAATCATAAAAAACCTTCTCATGGCATTCATCACATACCTTTTTACTGAACCAGTACCTAGCTACCATACAATTATTCTACATTTGTCCACAATCCATCTATATCTCAACTGACACAATGAATTTCAAATACCCGAACAAAACCTATAACTGTACATAAGAAGAATGCAATACTACAAGAACTATGAATTTCTTAAGTTATTTTCACATGCTGGAATCAGGAATTTTGAAACTCTACTTTTGTCATCCATTTCCATGTTTGATTGAGCCATCATATAGAACTGTTTTCGTTCTTCAGTCACAAGCTTTCACACAAATCTTGAATTTTTACACATCATCTTGAACCATGCTCTAGTCTTTCCAACAAGGTACTATGTAACATCAAAGCAATTTTGATTTGTTACAACAGCTTCAGATCATGATAGGCTTGAGGTTTGTTACACCATTTGCCAGACAAATCTCTTCAAAATGTGTATCAATTCCTAAACTAAGTAATTGATCATATTCATATCAGTATTTGCAGTTTCCACACAATGTTTCATAATACTATTCTATGTTTGTATAAAGAAACTGAAATAATCCACAAATTGTTATTGAAACACTCCAACTTCAAGAATTCACAGCAATAACTGTACAAGTTCAGAAGCAAACAAACATTGCGCCAGATTTCGTATGAAACGCGCCATCGTCCTGAAGTTTCTACCACAGACGGTAGTTCAACCGCAGCCGTAGTGCGAAAACCCCTGCCCGCCTTACCCCACGGCGGAGCTCGGTTGCAATTTGTAAATACGCGGGAGCCTCTGACGTCACACGCTCAATATTTTGAGCGCTCAATAATTTGAGCTTTTCCCCCTTGTGCGTGGGACTGATATCGGTGTAGCGCACGGCGCACGCTCTCTGGCTGTGTGTGCGGTGCCTGCCTGGGAGGCCGCACGTGTTAGTGGCCCCTGTTGAGGGCGCGCGCCGCTCACTGCACACAGTGGCTGCAGTGTGCAGAGTGCAGGCCGTCGGCCGCGCCGCCAGGGTCGTTAGTGCCATCAGGCTCACTCCCGTGTGCCAACAGCGGCAGCAACGACCTTAATTATCAGCGGCGAGCATCGGGCTGCTCATTAGAGCCGCCGGCCGCCGCTGCCGACCGGCAGCAGCGCAGCCACGTCGTTACTGGCCGCGCCGTTAGTTAAAACACCGAGACCGGCGGCGGTGGGCGGCTTCTGTGCGAGCCGCGCGCCGCCCGCGCTGGACGGGGCAGCCGCAGAGGCGCACCGCCGACCGAGGCAGCCCGCCGACCGACCGGGGCAGCCGCAGAGGAGGCGCACCGCCGACCGAGGCAGCCCGCCGACCGACCCCGGCAGTCGCTGAGGCAGCCCGCCGACCGACCCCGGCAGTCGCTGAGGCAGCCCGCCGACCGCTCTCGCCGGCCAATCTCTTAATGACGCCGATGACGCGTCCATTTCCGAACTTTGCGCGCCGACCTATCTCGGGACATCATTATCCCATTTTAAATCATTCCAGATAATTATCTCATCAATCAAAAGCCGCATTAGTATCAAGGACCTATCACCGCCGACTGGGAGGCAATTACCGCAGGAATTGGAAAATGGCTTCAAGTGCGGAGCTTTGTTAGGAGAAATACAGCCCTGGTCGGCACAATTGCGGCTGTGATTAATCGCCTCGGCCGTGTGAGCGCTGTGATTGCCCGTGTGGAGGCGGCCAGCGCCGGTCCGCGACGTCCGGTCAGTCGGCGGTCGGGCCGCCCTACACGCGACCGGTGTGCGCCAGTTTGTGCGCTCCTGTTGTATTCCAGCTGCGCTTGTTGTGCTCCGGCTGCGCTCCTGTTGTGTTCCTGGCGCGCATGTGCGTTCCAGTCGCGCTTATGTCAGCGCTTCTTGTTTATGGTTGTGCTTCGAAATTTCTAAATTATACTTGTACGAACAACTGATGTTTCTCGATGTATTCAGCTCTACAGCGGCCTACAGTGGTCACTCGTAAATGGGAAAGGACCACCTTTTCCAATTTCCCCACTGCAAAGCGTTCGAGATGACTCTGTGAACGTTTACCATCTTTACAAAAGCCATGACAAGCTGGCGGGAAGCTGCAGTATCCAGATTCCAGCTTCATTGTCTCTCCTCTATCCTGGTAGAGCTTTAAAGAGCTTTAGTGTAGTGAGTGATATGTAAGCGTGGCCTAATGTGGCTCCATGGCGATATGAGACAGCGCCCCCAGCGCGGCCAAAACGGCGCAGATTACACGGCGCCGTCACAGTCAGCCGCGATGTGTAAATGTGTGGGCAGTTTTCCGGGCGGGCCGGCGCCGTTTTTCGGCTGGCGAGTCCCACCCGAGCGGGCCCGTTCCGTGTTTGCGGTGATTCCGAGGCGCGACTCGTGTCGGCCGGTTTTCCTACAGCTCGACCGACGCTCCGATAGTGGCGCACATGTACCGCGTGTACAGATAGGCGCCATGCGAGCTGTGGCGCCGCGGGACGGCGCGGGCGCCGGCTCGGGCCCCGGTGCCGCGGTGGTCTCCGTCGGCCGGGTCCGGTATGGCCCGGTGAGGGTCTGTCCTCAGTCCTCCGTGCCGCCGTCACAGCTGCCCTCATCGGGCCGACGTCGCCCGGTCACGAGCGGAGAGCTTTTAACTCGGACAGCAGGCCCGGCTTCGTGCTCCGAACTGGGAGATCCACTGTATGTAGGTCGCTGCTGTCGGTAAACCGATCGACTTAAAATGGTCTAACGGCGGCCATAAGCGGATGCCGTTGTCTGTAGCCAGCTTCCGAGGAGTGTGTGGGAGAGGAGAGAGGGACAGCTGGTTATAACACCCTCTGTGCCGCGGCCGGCCATGGGAGCTCAGAGACGGGCCGTGGCGGCAGCGGGGTCTGGGGCTGACCCTGGGGGGCTGGTCAGCAGGTAGGAGCTGTCTGCCGCCCCCCCCCCGACTGGGCCATCTCTATTGCTGACTGATTCGTCTTCCCCCACTGACTGAGCCGCCTGTCTCCCCTACTGACTGAGCCGTTTCTCTCATCCGCTGATTGAGCCGTCTGCGCCCCTCTGACTGACTCGTCTTCCCTCATTGACCGAGCCCTCTCTGTCCCCCAGGCTGTTCGGCTCCACAGGCCACTGCGCCGCCTGCAGTAAGCTGATCCCGGCGTTTGAGATGGTGATGCGCGCCCGAGACCACGTCTACCACCTCGAGTGTTTCGCGTGCCAGCAGTGCAACCACAGGTGAGCCGGGACCGACCCGACCGATAGCCCGACGGCTGGGAGCTGCCGGGACTCACCGGGACTCACTGGGAGCTGCCGCAGCTCGGCAGGTTCTGCTAGCGTCCTGGGTCGGGGACCGCCGCTCCCCCCTGTCGACTGTCCTGGGGCTGGTGCCGGGTCCCGTCGACTGTCTTGGGACTGGGGCCGGGTCCGACGGCTATCCTGGAGCCGTCTACCGTCAACTGTACTAAGAGTGGGGCCGTTGCTCTACCCGGTCGGCCGTCGGCCGGTCGGTCGCTGATGACACTATCACCCATCGCTCGTCACGCGCTGCAGCTGGGCCGGCTTAATTAGAGCGTCCTCCCGCCGCGCTGAGTCAGCTCCGGTCCCCGAGCGGCACAGTGCTGCCACCTGGACCCTGCCTTGCCTCGATGGTGCCGCCATCTGGACAACTAAGGAACGGGCTCAGGGACCGGGGTCTGTGTCTAACTTCGCTTTGCCAGGTCTGACTGGGCCCTCTGAGCTATGTGAGATTTCTGTCTCTACACTTCACCGATAAATTCGCCCTGTGAAAAGTTGAGTCTGAGTCCGGCCCTCACTGAGCTCTGTACGCCGCCAGGTTCTGCGTCGGCGACCGGTTTTACCTGTGCGAGGGCAAGATCCTGTGCGAGTACGACTACGAGGAGCGGCGGGTGTTCGCCTCGCTGCCCTACACGGCAGACAGCCTGGACCACATCAAACGGCAAGTTAATAATCTGCAGGTACTACTCCGATACAGACACACGTATTACGTATCGTACACTGACAGCGGCGCATGCCAGCCACGTTCGTAGTACCTGTTTACCTGCAGATGTGCCTGCATCTCCTATGCATCGGCCTTGCTGAAATGCCTGTCAAGTGTCCGAATCGCTGCAACGTCAGAGAATCGTCGTCGGCAAATGTTTTCCAACAAATCTTCATATAAAACTGAATGGTGCTCGCTTGTGTCGTCGCGCATGTGAGATGTGTGTTTTTATGTATCGCATTTGTAGAAGGTGCCTTGGGCGTAGTTTAGTCATAAAAAAGGAATGACATTGACCATTGACATGGACAATACATTGACATATGACAATATGGACAGACTTATGGTCCTGCATGCATATTACGTGTACGGGGACCCGCAGTTGCTACTGTACACGTCACACGAACCCCAACTCTAGCCTCTGTCCTGTCCAGTAACAACCGATAACATTGATATCGACTGCCGGTCCCTGTACAAGAGCAGCTGAGGTTTTCTGTGCGTGCGCCCTGACAGCTTATCGTTGTTCCCTGGGCTGTGAGGGTGCTGGGCTGTACAGTAGCAACTGCGGGTCCCCGTACTCTTCACATTGTCATACGAAAAAATGCCTTTGATTACTTAGTTCAAATTGTGATGCATGAACGATTGATAGTGAGCCCAGTTATTCGATCTATAAAGGTACTCATTTCGTAGATCAACGTATACAATCTGTCTGCTTGAAGGTCATTGTGTTTGCGAATCTGACGCCAAACCCTCATAAAGCAGATCTTTCTCAGCTTAGGGGCTACACCTGTTTCAGTCATATCTGTACGCATCTGTTCGAGTCGGCAGCAGGGTCAGCTCCTGTGTTTGTATCTGAGGACTGTGTCTGTGCCTGGTCCGTTTGGTCTGTCAGTTTCTGACGTCTCCCCGTGCCCCGCAGGCGGACAGCCGGCAGCAGGGCCAGCCCCAGCAGTCTCAGCCCCAGCAGCGGTGCGGCCGGCGCGCCGGTGCCGGCCGGCCGCTGCCCGCCGCGGCCCTGCACAGTCCCCTGACGGCCCGGCCGGCCGCCGGCGACGACGCCTCCTCCGGCTACGGCAGCCCCGACTCGGTCACCATGGAGACGGGCCGCTGACCCGCGCCGCCGCTGAGCCGCCGGACGGCCGGCTGGCCCGCCGCGCCGCCGCGCTGAGCGGGCGCGCCGGCCCAGACTCGCCCGCAGAGTCGGATGGCTGACCGGGCCGGCTTGGGCAGACAGTGCAATCGACAGCAGCGACCCTGGCGGCCGGACGCCGAGGCGCCGGTTCCCGCTCCGGCCGCCAGAGCTCCGGCGACAACGACGCGGCGCCGGCTCGGGCCGCTGAGATGTGTTTTGAGACGGACAGCGGCAGTGGCTGACCAGGAGCTCGAGTGTGGACTGTTTCTGTCCATCAGCGGCGCGCGCGGACGTCCCCTGTCCCTCGACAGGTCATGGGGCGAGTGTGATTGAACAGGGCGCTCCGCGTGCGGCGGCGGCTGGCGCGCGGGGGCGCTCGCCGCTGGGCTCTGTCCCAGCTGTTAAGAGTTGTTTTTGTTTGTGCGGGTGTTGCGGGTTGACGTGTGTGTTTGTGTGCGCGGCGGGCGGGCGGGCGGCGCCGGCCGCTGGGTTGGGAAGGCTGTGACATGAGCGAGCCCGGCCGGCGGGCGGAGCGGGCCGGGCCGGGCCGGCGGTGCGCGCGCACGGACCCCCACCGCCGGCAGACGGCTCGGTGAAGGCGCTGCCGGCGGGACGGCCAGCCCGCCCGGTGGCGGCGGGACTCGGACGGTGGCGGCGCACGGGCACAGGACGGCACCGGGTGTTCAGAGCACTGTTTGGCGCGTGCCAGGTACGCCGGGCGGCAGGGTGGCCGCCGGGCCGGCCCGTGTCCGGCGCGGTATGCAGTGCGCGCGCGCTGGACGGGCAGGCCGCGAGCGACGGAGGCCCAACAGCCGCCAGTGACGCTCACCGAGTCAATTTATAAATATTTGTTATTACATCCCCATTCAACGACCGTTGTGTTACTGCATGCTTGTGTTTCGTAACTGGTGCCATAATACATACACAGTGAGTGCTATACTTACGTATCCGATTCCACATCCAATTCAGTACCAGCATTGCAATTCCGAGATGCCAGGAAAAGTACGAGTATCAATGCCGCCGTTGGGTCAACATAACAGTCCGATAAGGTGTATGATACGACCTTCCGGTGTTGATACAGTGAATCTCAGAAGTGTCTTCTTAACGTTTGAAAGCGCCAGTAATCAATATTCACCAAATTTCACAGTCAAAAGCTGTCCACCAGTGAGGAACTAATGTACACCTTTTGTCAGTTTATTTCGGTACGTACGCGTCCATTTTAGACCTAGCGGATTATTTGTAGACAAACCGCAAAGCTATGTATCAGTATAGCATTGCATGTCGGCCGTTTATAGCGATGATTGGCATTAGAGCATTTAATTTCGGCGCAGCAGCAAAAGACGCCCGGTTCCGGCGTGTCCGCATTGTATTTCGGCGATGCCGCTGGAAATTGGAGACGGCCGCACGATATTTAGAACAGCAGCAACCAAATTCGGCGATATTCATTCAATTTCAGCGGCTATTTGGAAGCAGGCAGAGACTTCTCGCTTACAAAATAAGTTTGTTGGAGCATTATTATTAAAGGGACCCTCCCACCTTAACATTAGATTTGAGTTGAGAGAGCCAAAATGGGGTTCCTGGCTCACAATTACCGGTTTCGGCACTCACAACATCGAGAAATGCCTTAAATCGGAAATATTGAATTTCAAAATTGCAGCATTTTGATTCAGAGGGGCTAATGCATAGGAATACCCCTCTGAATGTGTGACGTCATCGCAGATATCTAACGATTTTTAAATGTTTGACTAAAACGTTTTGTAGCACGCGGTGGTATATGCTGCTTTGCGCGCAACAAATGCCGCACTTTTAAATAAAGTCGCTAGGAACAACGGAGATCCCAAAAAGTAAACAAAAGTAAAAGTCTAATATCTTGAAAACCGGTGAATATTTTTCGATGAAATTTGGTAGATATTGGTTTCAGCTCTTTCTGAACCGACCGACATCACTTTCATGCCAATTCATTAACTTTTTTGAAGGTGGGACGGTCCCTTTAAGTCAAACGCTTTTCAAGGTGTTTACTGTTGACACTGTCTCACTGTCTGGACTTGTGCAATGTGCATGCCTTCGGCCCTCTACCCTCTCCTTTATGGCCGAATATTCCTTTCGCAATCGCCAGCGATGAGCATTATTTCATGTTCGTGCTTTATGTGGGTTAAACAAAACATTACAATGTACCTATTAATTTCTACCAAGGAAGTACTTACATAGGTGCATAGGCACCTGCTTAAAACGAAGGCGGCGGAGAACAAAACCAGGCCGACAGGGTACGCGACTACTGAACTTTGACCCCGCCCGTGCGCCAGAGACGCCCTGTGTCTTCGCGCGGTTGTTGAAAGGATGCGCCGAGCGCCGGATGGACGGTCAGATGCTGTTTGATGTGTGGAAGGGGGAGGGGGAGATACACCTGCCGCAACTACGAGTCTTGTCCATGGGACGGGTTAGAATGTTGACGCTAAGCCTCTGGTGGTGTTCATGGCGGTAGGGCGGGGTGAGGGGAGGCAAGGTGATACGATACGGGATGCTGAGTTTATTTTCGTGTCCTTCTGCACACAGTAGGACTAAGGGATGTTTGATGTTTCACGCTGGCAATTGGTTAATTGGAGAATGGAGATGATCAGGAAGTGCAACGATAACCGATTGGTAGGACTCATTCTGGTATGGTGGAGATAATTGTGTATGTGTGATTGACGAGGTGATGGGCTGCATTCAAGGTGAAGTAAAATAACAGGTCTTTTGATATTAAATGGGTTCATGTGTTGGGCAAAAACTTGGAACACACAGCACAGACGTTGTTCAATGAAAGAGAATCGGGGTATGCCTCGAGTCCAACAACGATTGGTGTTTGCCTTGTCGATCGTCGTCCACCATGTGCGGACAGGAGCGGGTACTGTAATAAAAAAGAAACCAGCCCACAGACAGCGGCGTATTTAGAAAATCGCGAAGGGGGGGGCCAAGGGTTTGGAGGGCGCCACCTCACCCAAGGAGGGCGCCATACGGTCGCGAGATAAAAAATCGCTCAGTGGGGGTTGGGGGGTTGGGAGGCGTTTTTTACCATGCCACCAGTTTTTTTTTTTGCGTAACCTCGTATAGGTCGTGCTGCATTGATTTTGCATCGTGTGTATTCTTTATACTCCAGGTCACAAAAGGTCAAGTGTTCTTGAAATGCTGCGCCGAAGGCGCGCGAAATTTTTGAAAACAACCTTTTCCTCCGCTTTTTAGGCACGCCTTTTATACGATCACTGTTCAAAGCTCCTCTCGCTCTTTTACCAAATTTGAAGGTGTAAAAAATACCTAAGGTTTGGTCGGGCCGCTGCCACACAAACTGTACAGAAAGCTTGGCTCATGGGTGTCGATGTATAAAAGTTTATTGGCGGTGGCATATCTACGCACCAGATCACCGTATCGGATTGATACCGGAGCGCGAGATGCGTAAACATCATCCAAATTACCTTAGACCAGCCTTCATAGCCTTCTCACAGATGCATACAGTGTACCCACATAACCAGTTTCAATCACCGAAACTTCAGATGCCTGCTGTTGCGCCCGAACCTGTTGACAGTACTTAATCGTAATCCATATAGATGCCATGATGCACGTAAAGTAGGATCAATCCGTTAAGACCAAAGACGTGTTTTATGCATCGTAGAGCGTAGATAGTTTTGGTAAGTATAGATACTTCATTCATTGTGCTGAATGCTCGTTCATTTGTGGCAGTTTTCACAGGCAAGACATCAACTATGTGCAATAGAACGACTAAGTTGAAAAACATGCCAAAGGAGTAAATAAATGATAGGAGGGCAGCGATCAACGGATGTTGCCAATAGGTAGAAGGGCTGCGATCCACAGGAGGGCACTAATAGGTAGAAGAGCCCCGATCAACATCCCGAGTTTCGACAGTAGGGCACCGATAGGTAGGAAGTTGGCGAGCAGCAGGAGGGCGCCAATGGATAGAAGGGCAGCGATCAACAGGAGGGCACCAATAGGTAGGAGGGCGCCGATCAACAATCAACAGGAGGGCGCCACCAGGTAAGAGGGTGGCGAGGAACAGGAGAGCACCAATAGGAGGGTGGCGATCAACAAGAGGTCGCCAATAGGTGGGAGGGCGGTCATCAACTGGAAGTCGCCAATGAGCGGAAGGGTGACGATTAAAATGGGGGTGGCAATGGTGAGGAGGGCGCCTTTGCTCAAGAGGATGACACGAACAGGAGGGCGTCTGTGCGGAGGGCGCTGGTCAACAGGAAGGTGCCAGTGGATAGGAGGGCGGTGATCAACAGAAGGGTGCCAGTGGTTAGGAGGGCGGCGATCTACACGAGGGCGCCAATAGGAGAAGGGCCCCGATTAACATTCAACAGGAAGGACTAGGGAACCAATAGGTAGGAGGGCGGCACTGAACAAGAGGGTGCCAAAAGGGAGAAAGGCGGCCTTCAAAATTTCACATGAGGGCTCAATAGGTAGGAGAGCGCCAATAATTATGAGGACGCCGATCAGCAGAAGGGCGGCAATGTGTAGCAGGGTGGCGACCAACAGGAGGGCGCCTTCGGGTGAGAGGGCGCTTATTTACAGGACAGCGGCTTACATAGGCGACCACCGTTACGCTTAGAGAGCTACAGCCTACAAATGTGGTTGGAGGGCGCCCGAGGGAGCCCTCCAACCGTATTTGGAGGGCGTATTTGGAATGGGCGTCCTCCGAGGGCGCCCTCCATCCGTATTTTCCCTGTAAACACATTCGCGATTGGAGGGCGCCCTCCAGTCGCGATTGTTTTTCGATTCGATTATATCACAATTGCATTTGCGATTGGAGGGCGCCTTCGGCGCCCTCCAATCGCAAAGGGGGGGGCCATGGCCCAGTGGCCCCCCCCCTGCCTACGCCCCTGCCCACAGATGTTATTTGTTTAGGATAAATAGTACTAACTCAGTAAAGCTTATCAATTTTCACATCAGAATTCGAAACGGGAAACAGCGAAACGATCGGTAGGTACTGTGACGCTAAACAAGCAATGGCCTGCTTTTCTCCCCCTGAGAATATCTCAAAGCTACAAAGCTGCATGAGGATTCATTTGATGCTAAAGAACTAAGAAGCGTTCCCGAAAATATGAATCATCTGGGTGCCTCCGGTTACCCGCCGAAATTGAATGAACAGTGCCGAATTTGGTTGTTACTGCTGCTAAATAGCGTGCGCTACCTCTAAACATATGCTAGCGCAGCCGATTCTACTCGCGCTATCACCCAAGGCCCTATATACCAGGTAGGGTCGTCCGGCGATTCTACCTTTTCGTGACGTCAGCTCGTGACGTCATTTGGAGTCAAGTCTCGAAGCCCCGTTCAATCCCCATTTAAATGAGCGATTTTCGAAGAACTGTAGAATGAAGTCTGCACTAGATATATCAAACCTAAGTATCTTATCTGAAAGAGCAGACAATTTTCTGCAAGTTATCTATTACGTGTTTTTCGCTAAATCTTTTGCTTTTTTCACAAAAGCGTAAAATGTCCCCCCATGTCTCCGCAGCCTCCCTGCCGCCGGCCGCCGCGCGGTCGCGGTAGTGTAGTGGTTAGCGTGCCCGCGCAGTATTCCCAAGGTCCCGAGTTCGAATCTATGCGGTGCGGAACTTTAATTGCAATTCCAAGCTGAATATACGCACATCCATAATGAATTATTATTCGTATAGCTAAACTGTCACCAAGCTATCCATATAAATTGACTTCACCCAAAATATCGGCAAGATTCTATTAAAATATAAATTCAAATATGGCGGCTTGGACTGCCGCGTGCGTTAGGCTCCGCCCATAGCTCCGCCCACATGCGTGACGTCATTCGTGTTAGTGGACACGCAGAGAGATAGGGGACGACATGGGCCTGCTATCACCGAAAATGGAGCGTTTTGCCGCTGTGCCGAAATTGAATGCTTTACCGCCGACTGCCTAAGCTGCGCCGAGATA